GACTTTACTTGATGCTTTTCTTCATTCGATCTTCTTTCCTATATTTTCCATTTCCTTGTTTTACTTCCTTATTTTGCTTAACTATATCCTCCAGCTCCATAAGAATGCACAAAAGGTGTCATGTTTGAGACTTTGTGTATCTGATAATGTGTGTATTCTATATGACTTGGTTTACAGTTCAGTTTGGTAAAGGATTCTAGGGTAAAAATAGTTTTCCCTCTGAATTTTTAAAGTTGTACTACATTATCTTCTATCAAGGGTGGCTAATAACAACTCTGATGCTATTCTAAGTCCTGTTCTATTTTTTTTGTCATCAGCTTTTTCTCTTTAAAAGATTTTATAATTTTTTTCCTTATTCAAGACATTCTGAAATTTAATGATGATGTGCCTTTAAATGGTTTTGTTTTGTTTTCTTTTAAGTAGTTCTAGGTGGGCCCTAACAATATGAAGATTCCTATCCTTTAGTTCTGGGATATTTTCTTCTATTATTTCTTTGATGATTTTTCCCCTTCTGTTTTCTCTTATCTCTCTTTCTGAAACTCCTATTATTAATAAGTCACTAAATGGTTTCTCTAATGAATCATTTCTATTTTCCATCTTTCCACAACTTTATCTTCCAGTCTTTTTATTGAATATTTTATTTACACCACTATATATTTAATTTTCAAGCTCTTTCTTGTTTTCCTTTTTCATCATTTCCTGTTTGTTTTACAGACATACCTTCTTTTGTCTCTTTGGTATTAATCAATTATAGTTTTTTGGACGTTTCCTTCTCTTTGCATTGTCTCTATTCCTCCAGATCCATTTCCATCTGTATGTGTGCTTTATTTACCATGTTGGAGTTATTCATCAACTGTCTAGTGATTCCTGTAGCCAGTTCTCTTGGCTGTTTACATAAAAGTCATTTTCCCCACTCTGTACTTTGTGACAGCCTTGGTTTTGTCCTGGTGACTATCTCTCTCCCATGTGATTTAGCCAATCACAATAACATCACATCTCCCTTGCCAGTGATTAGATGCTGTATGGCTTCTAAGAAAATGAGACAGGTAGGGACAGACTGCCCCCATCTTCTGCTGGATATTGCTGTACCTGCACCTAATGCCAGGAACCATGGTGGCCATCATGGTACCAGCCTGAGGAAGAATCTAACACACAGAGGAAAGCAGAACCAAATGAATCCCAGAGAAGCAGAATCAGAGATCTGAACACCATGACAGGAGCATGTCCTGCCTTTGGACCTATTATTTTATGAGGTAAAATATCCCTTTATTGTTTAAGCCTATTTGGGCTGGAGCTTCTATTACTTGTTGCAAAAGGCAATAGTAACGGATACAGTACGCTTTGTCTCAGGAAGGGGAGTTGGTATATGAGGGAGATGAGAGAAAAAGCAGATAGTATTAAATGTTAAGTGATTCAGAAAGACAAAATTCACAGTTAGGGTAGGATTCTCTGCAGACCTGATTTGGTAATATTGAGACAAAAGGGCTTCATGGTTAAATCAGGCAATCAAGAAAAACAATCTGAGTCCCCTATATGACCAGTTTCTGAACAGAACTTATAACTGGACAGCAGTGACCTCTTCTTCCTCCCAAAGTAAGTGGAAAAAGTTCAGGAAGTCTTCCTCATCTAGTGATTACTACATAGAATTCTTTTGTGAGGGCCCAGAACTTACCAGTGCAGTAGGGCCTGTGAACATCATTCATGCATTTCATTCAGTGAACAAATATTCTTTGAGAAGACACCATGTGCCAAGTGGATTAATCAACAAGTCAGACATAGTCCCTGACCTAAAGGAATATATGTTTAGTGGGGGACAAAGGTGTTATATATTTATTTACTGGTTAATTACAAATTTTGGCAAGTGCTTTAAAGGAAAAGAAAAGAATACTATAAAAGAAATATTGGGGCGGGTGGGATCTTTAATTATTAATAAGAATAGAGATTGAAGGGAACTGGCCAGTGAATGTGTGAATAAGTGACATTAAATTGAGAACTGAAAGATAAATAGTATTTAACCTGACAGAGGTGTGGGATGGGTTGGGGCATTCCTGGCAGAGGCGGCTTGGTGGAAGAAATGAAAGCATATCAGTGTGGCTGGAAGAGAATGAGTGAGTGGGAGGGTGATATGAGATGAATGTGGAGAGGGAGGCAGGGACTTAATCATGTAGGACTTTACTGGTGATGCTAAGAATTTTGGGTTTTACTAAGTGCAATGAGAAACCACTAAAATTTTAACCAATGAAGTCACATGAAAGAAAACAATTTACATTTTTAAATAATCCCTTTGGCAGCTGTACATAGAGTAAATTGGAGATAAGACAAGAAAGTAACCAATTATGGCTGTTGCAAGTCCAGGAGATAATACTGGCTTGGACTGAGGGGGTGGCAACGGGTAGGGAGAGAAATGGATATGAGAAATATTTCAGATAACGAGAGAAAAAGAAGAGTTAAGAATGCTTCCTAGGTTTCTGTTTAAACATGTGTAAGAAGGAGGTGTTACTTGCTGAGATAGGGAAGATGAGCAAGAAAAGCAGGATTTGGAATAAGCAAAGATCAAGAGTTCGGTGTAGGATGCCTACAAGATATCCAAGCGGACATATCAAGTAGATAGCTGGCTATAAAATTCTGGAAAAGAGATCAGGATCAGAGATAAAAGATTAGGTGCAAATTGGTTTCACTGATCAACACCTAAGTGCACATATAGGAATAACATTTATCGGGTGTCGGGCAGATGGGAGCGAGGAGGAGGCAACGGGTATATACAAACATAATGAGTGTGATGCGCACCATCTGGGGGATGGACACACTTGAAGCTCTGACTGGTGGTGGGCAAGGGCAATGTAACCTAAACTTGTGTACCCCCATAATATGCAGAAATTTAAAAAAAAAGATTAGGTGTCATCAACATACAGATGGCATTTAAAGTCACAGGAATAGATGAGTTTAGAGAGAGGGAGAGTACAGATGAGAAGAGTACTGGTGAAAGGAGAAGAGAAGCCCTGAGGAACTTCATATTTTAAAGGATGGGAAGAGGAAGAACCTCCAGAGGAGACTGAAGGTATATCAGTAAGGTTGGTTAAAACTAGAAGATGTCTGCACTACCAAAGAATGAATGTTTCAAAAAAGAGCAAGAGGTCAATTGCATTGATTGCAGAGAAGACAGGAAAATATCCCTTGATTTCAGCACCATGGAGGTCATTGACTGGCACTGTAGATTATCAGGTGAACTGAATTCTGTTGCAAATACCAGAAGAATCAATGAATTAATCCTTATACCACCAGGGTTCATTGAATTTAATTTTATATTTTGAGTTTTTTTCTAAGAGGTTCTGTTTATAAGGATGGCTATTTCACAACTTTTATTCTTTCTTAGGCTCTTATTTTTTTTGAAAAGGAGTAAATTTCCCTTTTTAAAAAAATACAATAAAATTCATTTTATCTTGCAATTACCATATAGGGTCCATTGGAACCTTTCATAACTTATAAAGGATCTTAGTGATCTTGATTTCCTCTGGCTTCAAACATTTTGTTATATCATTATCCTAGGAATTATTTCAGCATTACTCAATAATTATTCCCAACTATACTAGAAAAGACAAAAATAATAAGATGAAGAATTTAGAATCACCTAGAAGGTTGATTCCATAGTGAAACAAATCATCACTATTAGCTCATCCTTCTGTTATCCCATTGTAATGCCCAAAATACTGCATCATCTTTCAAGAGGGTAGAAAAAACATCTGGAGACACTGTCTTTGTAGTGTTTGTTGTTGTTGTCTGAAAGCTTTTATTAATCACTGATAAAAATTCAGAATTTTTCATTTTCTTTCCATAATGTCAAAGAGAAGAAAACTGATAAAGGAAAACATTTCCAAATATTGGAAAAATCAGAAGACGAATGGAAAAAGACAGACAAAAGAACTCTAGACTTTAAGGATGTTATTTAAATTTATCACGTAAGTAAATCTCAGGCTATGAGTCTTTAGATGATGATATTCTAGGTAAATTTTTTCAGACTCAAGAATCAATGATTTCAACAATATATATTTAAGAATAAAAAGGAAATACGGTATTCTCATCCAGTTAGTCATTTAACAGGAATGACTTCCTTATTCAATATACTGCAATAAGAAACTGAGCTATCCTGAATAGATGTAATATGTTTTGTCATATTTTATGATGTTGCATATCAAATATACTTCATTTAGCTTGTAAATCAACAAATGATAAAGGCAAATATGTACAAAGATGAATGCACAGAAATGTATGAGGTATAGATGAAAAAATTCATTGAATTGCTAATTCTAATAGGCGTTTATAAATCTAAAAATGAAAATGTTTCGCAGCTAAGAGGCAAAGAATATGGCTATCCTCTCTTTAAAATGATAAGCCACCAGAGTTTTCAAAAGCATTGCTTTTTGTTTACTTAAGTGCAAGAAGAAGCAAAAGTAATGATAAGCTAGAACCATTAGAGATGTATTTGAAATCTGGTATCAATATTTACAAGATGATTGTGTTCTTGGTTCATCTATGTTGACTGGTAAGCAGTTGTACTCAAAGAACATTGCCCATTTAAGGTAAATGTTGCTTCAAATGCAGGAAAATAGAGAATAAAAAATTGGGCTTGCTATGTTTAAAATAAAGTTTACTAAAAAATTATTTTTCACTATTCCTTTATTCTTGCTTTTGTAAATGATTTGCAAAATGACTTAAATATATGAAAAAAAAAGAACAGGACCATTGGTGATAAATGTTTCCTCTAGCACACTGTGAGTTACATAGATCAAAGTTTGTCTCACATAACAAGCAATAGAGAAAGACAGAAAACATTAACTTCTTAAATAGACTGCTTCTGCCTTCAGATAATAGAAACATTATCTCACCTAATGTGGAATGTCAGTTTAGAATAGAGGGATGGTGGCTCAGTGATGTCATCAAGGATCCAGCTTGCTTCCATCTCTCTGCTCTGCCATCTCCAGTTCTGGTTTCATCCTCAGGGTTGTAGCAAGATAGCTGTGGCATTAGATCTAGACATGTGACATCCAGAAGAAGTAAAAGAAGCTACATATATCTCTCTGTTAAGAGTGAGGAAACTTTTTCTAGAAGTACTCCTCCTCCAGCTCCTTTCCCCCTTGCAACCTGTTAGGAAGAAGGGCTAAGAGACACTAGGCAGGCCAGAAACAGCATCTGTGACAGCCTAGAAGCAAAACTACTAAAACAACTTAACAGAACATACACTAATTGAGGAGAACTGTTACCAGGACTCAGAATGGACCAGGATAAGTAAGTCAGTCCTTCATAACTGCCCCCTTCCCATCTGAGTGTTATTCTGTCATATCTAAGCATTCAGGATGTTGTCTTATTTCCTGCTCCTCTGGCCAGATGCATACAGGAATAGCCAGCTGGTATATTTTCTAAAACAGAGTGAGTGGGATGAGATGAATAAAGAAGATGTATGGAATTGGAAGATGACTCCAGGACCAATGTTGGAGACTGAGACTATGACAAGCCTCCAGGATCAGGCAGTGACCAATGGATGACAAGCAAAAGATTGGGTTTTTGTAGAGAACTTGAATAGCCAAAAAGAAAATCAATAAGACTGGGACAGCTGTCTAGAATCATCTCTGAGACCTTCGTTGGCTAAGATTTTCACACACTTTAAAAATCCATTAGCTGGGTATGGAGGTGCACACCGGTAGTCCCAGCTACTTGGGAGGCTGAGGCAGGATTGCTTGAGCCTGGGAGTATGAGGCTGCAGTGAGCTGTGATCATGCCACTGCACTCCAGCTTGGGCAACAGGGCAAGACCCTGTCTCTAAAGAAAAACAAAACAAAACAAAACAAAACCTAAAGCAGGGGGTGTGGCCAGAACCAGGATGAGGAAGAATGCGATGCTGAGAGGAAGAGAAGCAAAGGGCCAAAGAGGAAAGAGGGAGGCCATTACAGTTCCTTTTTTCTCCCTCATCTCAAATCTTGTCCTTAACAGTTTTAAACGTGCACTCTTCCTTTGCCCAGTCAAGGCCAAATTGAAAATGATGGTTGGGGCAGGCTATGATTTTTTTTTTGTTGCTTCTTTTCGATGATCTTGTGTACTTGGACTGGACTGGAACTGAAACAGTCCTTGGAAGTGAGAAATAAGGAACACCCTGTCAAATTACTCTTCAATATGTAGTTACAAGAGCTGCTAGACTCATGGAGAGTATGTAGATTTTCGTTTGGAGAATAAAGAACATTTTCCGATCAAGGATGCGGTAAGAAAAGGTAGTGTGTTGCTTGCTGGCCATAGTATGACTGCGACTGTGTCTTAACAAAGTCAGAACAGATGAAGCCAATACCTACTAAATAAGGGACTGACACTGGCAGCCCTATGAGAAACAGCAAATTTGCAAATCAGGGTTCTGTGTACACTCAATTGTGCAAAGGGATGATTGCTCACCAACATGAACACCTAATCCACCATTTTAACAGTCAAAATCTGAAAGGAAAAAATGACTTGAGTTTCAGTTTCTACCACCTTTCCCATACCTTCGTGAAATTTCAGCACATGATCATTCACAGCTAGTTTCCGACCAAGGCCTGAAACCTACACAATCAAAAAAATGATAATACAAATTAAAATAGGCCCAGAATAGATATTTTTGATTACTTATATTCATGGAAATACATTTGCCTTTTTGAATTCACCAAGAGTACTCTGAAGTCTGAAAGAACCCAAGTGAGTCACTGTTTGCTGCTCATGAAGGAGAACCTGGGACAGGCAGGGTTGGGATCTCACTAACTTTAACTGTATTGCTCCACATCAGAAAAACTGTGGAGCCTAACGCTATAAAACATAGATTAAGAAGCTACTTTGAGTCTCGTAACGTCTTTCATTACAAGCTGCTTGATGCACCCACAGGATTAAATTCTCAGGGGTTTGGGGAGTGGGACTGAGCAGGAAAGTGAACGCAAGCACAGTAATTCCTCCCTTCCCCAAACCAAATAATATCTGTCGTTGATAACAAATTATTACGTGCCTTGACGGATAAGCATGTGTTAGGAAAGCAATCCCTGGTTATAAAATAGCTTCTCTTAAGTTTCTAAATTTATGAAGTGAGTTCCATGTGGTTTTTTTTTAAGGGCTTAACATTTCATACGAAACTTTTTATACAACCATGGTACGGTGGCCCAAGACGCCAAACAGAACAAATAATTTGAATAATCAGTTTAAATTAAAATTTTAAAAGCCTAGAGAAATCTAACCTGGGTATGAAAGAGACGTGCCCATACCTTGGGTGCTGTGTGATTCGAATCACAGCCCTTTGAAACAGCCGCCTCACGTGTTAAACCCTCTCCCTCAGCACACGCCTTCCATAAACGAGCCCTGGTACCCGAACAAAGCGAGGACCCAAGTTCAGGGTCTTTGTCTCAAAAGAACAAAGATCTGCACAGCTGCTTCCTCGCAGTCACGAAAGAGCGAAGCCTCCCTGGGAGCCCCACGCTGCTTGCGGACCTGCGCCCGGGCAGCCGCCCACTCCGGCCGCGACCCTCGGGCTCCTTTAAGCGCCGCGCCCGCCCCCGTCCCCCGCGAGCCGGCAGCACGGGGCCGCGCCTCCCGCCGGGGTTACGTGAGCCCGGGGCGGGCGGCCTCCGGGCCAATGGCCGCCGCCGGGGCCGCCGCGCTCCTCCCGCGCCGCCGCCGCCGCCGCTGCCGCCGCCGTGGGGCTGCGGGCTCCTCCCGCAGGAGATAACTGTCAGCGCGCGAGGCGGCGGCGGCGGCCCGGCTCAGTCATATGACCGGCAGCCGGCGCCCCCAGCGCCAAGCAGAGTTACTCAGCCGCAGCGGCCCCGCGCTCCCGCAAGGCTGGGCGGCCGCGCCGCCGCGATGGCCCCGCCACCGCGGCCGCCGCGCCCGGCTGCGCGCTGAGCGGCCGGCCCCCCGAGCGCCACGGCCGGAGCCGCAGCGGCGGCAGCATCATGGCCCCGACCCTGCTCCAGAAGCTCTTCAACAAAAGGGGCAGCGGCGGCAGCTCCGCGTCGGCGTCTGCCCAGGGCAGGGCTCCCAAGGAAGGACCCGCCTTTAGGTGAGGGGGCGCCGGGGGCGAGTCTGGCGCGGGACTGGAGTTGGCTTCGGCGCTCGCCGGGGAAGGGAAGGAGGAGGGGAGCGGGCCTCCCGGGACGTCGCTGCCCATCGCCGGCACCCGGTCCCGAGGCTTGTCATCGTGGACGCGCCTGCTCCGCGTGTGCCTCCGGACCCTCTGTGACCCTGAGGCTCCCCTCTCTCCTCCCTCTCTTTCTCCACAACTCAGGGTCCTTCCCGTTTCAAAGAGTTCTCTCGTGTTCCTTTGGGCTCCCGGGCGTGCGCTTTGCTTGGCTCTGGAGGTGGGAGATCCGCCGTGTTTTGGGGTGAACCCCTTCCGGGCAGAGCCGCCTGGGCGCCTCTGCGGGCCTGTAAAGCTGTGAGCTGTCATTTTGAGGGCAGCTCCAACCTATTGTGTACGTGACAGTATTTTGAAGTTCTGAAGGAGCAACAGCTACGAAAAAGGCATCTTTCTTCTTTCTTGCTGTTAATGACAAGCTCTCAAACGGATGAATGAAAGTATGTAATTTCAACATCATTTGGAAGGTCGATGCCGCATGGTGTGTGGAAAAGGGGAGTTAAATGCTGTTATGAAATTTCTGAGGTTTCAATTTAACAAAGCTGAAGTGTACATTTAATAGATTTGACCTCCTGAAAACGTACCTTTGTCTTAAATGCTTTATGTTGATTTCTCTCCTTTACTTCCCTAACAACCAGTGAGGTAGATTCTATTATAATTCCCATTTTACAGGTGAGGAAACTTACAATCACAGAGAACTTAAGCAGCTTGCCCAAGATCCACAGCTCTAAGTGGCAGAGCCTGCATTTTGACCCAAGCAGTTCGAATCTAATCTTTAAAATCCCTATGCTATTCTCCTTTCAAGGGCTAACTTTTAAAAGATGCCTTAAAATGTTCTGTATTGCCTTTCAGCGCACTTATGTTGAGATGTTCATTTATCTACCTTTACCAGTTTTCAGCAATTTTTTTTTTATTGAGTATCTACTCCCAACTCAGACACTCTGCTAGGTGCTTTTCACCCAAAATGTCTTGCAAAAACAGGTCTAGATCCAATATAGTAAGCCTTTTAAAAGTTCAAGTGAAACTTTGAAATAAATTTTGGATTAAGTTTCATGTTCTAGATTTTGCTTTTCTTGAATTCCATTCATTTAAAACACAGTCCCTCACTGTAGTTATGTGAAAATTGAATAAGCAGTATTTTTTTGTGGGGTGTGTGTGTGTGGGTATTTGAAAGGTGAATTGTAAGGACTTTAAACTACCCTGGTTAAATTCTCATGTTTCCTTTAGACTAACTGAATCCTTATAATTTGAGTAGGGAATTCTATGCCTTTCACTACTCTGACTGAGTACTAATGATGCCACGTACCATCTTAGAATGGTAGAATTACTTCAGACTCAGGGTGTGTAATTTCTTCCCTTCCCTCCCAGTAACCCAGACTCTATCAAGGGTACAAAGCGTGGAGCGACGGGGGCATGTGTGTCACAGGTGTCTATACTTTAGCAGCCTGTGCCAAGGACATTTAAAGCCATTTTAATGTTGGTGGAGACAGCGGAGTTACACTGGCATTGTTTCCTGTGCTCCTTGCTAATTGCCCACCACCATTTCCTCCATCCACAAGTTTAATTGGGTATATTTTGAACAAAAATTGTGGCTATGTTTAGGGCCTGGCCATATTAGGGAAATTGAGTCCCACTTTGTGGGAATATTTTCAGTATAGTGTTCTGACTTCTCATTGGTGTAGAATTAAGAATAGAAAATTGTGCCAAGTATTTTTTTTTCCTTGACCTCATTAGTATTTTCTACAAGTTTTTGTGGTAGATATTTTTAGAGAATTTTGGGAATTTCAGTTGAACACCCCACCTAATGAGAACCCCTTTCAGTAGTGTCCCTGATAGGGGTCACATGGAAAAGGAGGTGAAGTAGCCGATGTCAGCAAAGATGCAGGAAGATGGGGACAAATCAACCATTGTTCATCAGGTTAAGAAAGGACACCTAAACAAGTCTTTCCTTTTGTTCTCTTTACCCAGACTAACTCTTACATGCTATATAGCCCTCCTGGGAAAAGCCTCCTGGAAAAATTTCCTCTCTAAAAAATTATGGCCCTGTGTTTCATTTTATTCAGATTTTACCAAATAAGAGCTGGTGTGTGCTTGTTTGGAGGAAGGGGATGCCTCATACAGGGGATTAGCTGCTCTTTGGAGCCCACCTCGTAATTGAGTAGGTTTCTAGAAGTTAAGATAAAACCCTTAGTTTAAAAATCAAGTATTCCTAACATGAATTTGTGTTCTTTAGTACATTTAAATACAGGATGTAACCTGTAGAGCTGGACAATGAAAAGTCCCTGAGGATTCAGGTAGACTTTCGGGGCAGTTTTGTAGTGTATATTGGGGAAAATAAAAACAAAAGTAAGATCCACCTTTTTATGTTTTTGTTTTCTGTTTTAAAGTTTGTGGAATCCTTTTATATCTTCCCTGTTTCCATGATGGACTTTCACTAGTTATTTTAAACTTTTCTCCTCTTCTCTGAACTATTTTGCCCTTGGTTTTACTCTGTTTACTCTTGTACACTTCCTAGTCCCTTCTCTGGGTTTCTTACTGTCCTCCCATTCCTCCAGCTTTCACATACTGTGTTAGAGAGGAAGTTTGTTGTCTGATGTAAGTGGCCTATATCACAGGTCATTTTCAGGTCTTCATGCTTCCTGGCATTTCATCTATATAGAGAGTTGTCAAGTTAAGATTCCTTCTTGAATATTTCCTTCAGGATCTTGACAAAAAGCCCTTTTCATAGCGTTGAGGAAAGAGATTGCTAGGAAAACAGAAAAGGAATCAAAAGAGATCGAATTTACATTTTGGAAAAAGAAGTCAGGAACGCTATATGATTATGGTATTTGTGAAGTTTAAACCTTATTTGAAGTTGTAAAATTGCATTGTAGTTTTTGAAATTTGAGAGAGTTCTCTATTTGCTGGTCTTCAGAATGCTTTTCACTTTTAATTAATTGATACATAAGTTTATATTTGAATAACCTTTGTTCCATAAGGAAAAATTAGGACCAAAAAAATGATTTGTACGGTGACTGAAGTCAGAAATACATAGAATTGGGTTCTTGGTTACCTTGGATTTAAGGCCAGCATATTTACGCAGGAGTTTTTAAAAACCAAGATTTGCCCATTGATTTACATGTGTGGTTTAAGTTTATAACATTATCTTAAGGTTTTTTTTGTATTTTAAATGTCTCTGATTAATTAATGGCCCAGTCTCCCCCTGAAATGTGTATGTAGCAGGGAGATGGAAAGGATCATGGGCTAGCAAATGTTTTGTTTTATTTTGGACCAGTTAAATGAAGTGAGTAAACATGTATATTGCCTGGGGTATGAGGAGTAAATGGAAGCATTGCAGCTGCTTGCTAGCTAGCTGTGTAAATGCCAGAGAATAGACTCCACTCTTCTTCCTCCCAGTCCTGAATACCTAGGGCCAAATGGCCTAGTTAGTGCTAATCCCCATTGTTCTGTTAGAACAAATTTAAGTAATCTGTTAGAGGGTTAGTATAAATATAAATTAATCCACTTACCATCATTATCAAATACCATCTGATGCCTATGCGCTTGTGGCTCGGTGCTCTACTTACAGGAATCCAGGTAGGACACCAATGGTCTGACCTGCTGGAGTTTTTAATCTGAAAGACAACAGATTATACACTAAGATGGATAAACAGCATATACCACATTGGAAGCTATAACACATAAGTCAAACACTAAGAAAGAGTAGATTTTTTACATTAAGAACAGAATTAAGAACTCACTGGCTGTTCTCATACTTGGAGTGACTGAGGCAGGGCTGTGATTTTTCTCTTACCTCACACAGAGGGAAATCACAGAGAAGTGCTTCCTCCTCTCCCACTGCCAGGTTCCAAGATGCAAGCATTTGCAATGAGATTTTTCTGAGTTAGGATGGAGAATATTCTGGAAAAAAGAGCTTTGTTCCAGTACCCACACATTTTTAATGCCCATAAGACATATGACACATAAATAACAGTTTTGATCTCTTTTTACTACTTTCTAATGGTCTTCATGTAGATTTTCTTGCCTGCCGCTGTAGATCTACTGGTACACTCCTTACATCAGATCCCCTCATCCTGAAACATAATGTGCACCTTGGGAGGTTATTAGTGATTTTTCACAGAGGTGAAAAGGGAACTCTTCCATCTAATGAAATGGGTTCTATTAAAAGCACTTGGAAGACAAATTAAGGAGGCCATTGATTTATTCTTGCCTCATGTACCACGTCGATGTGAGACCAAACAAGACTCTTAGTTTCTTTGGCCCTCAGTTTTGTCATTTGTAAAGTGGCAGCATCAGTCCTGTGTAATAGAGTTGTGGTGAGGAGGTAATAAAATGGGTTTGAAAATCTTTCAAAAAGAATAAAATAGGAATATATGATTATGCATGTAC